AATTCTCAACTATGTAGCTAGTATAATTAATACAGTCTTGACAATGGATAAATATAATGTAATTAAATAAATTTTCAAAGACAAATTAAATATATTCTAATCACGAACATATAATTCATGATTCTCGACAATCGGTAATTCTATTGTAATTAATTCTTTTTTTTTAAGACAAATTAAAAATATTCTTGTCATGACCCGAATCTATTTCTAACTCAACGCATTCAATTTCACAATTATCCAAAAAATTGCACACGTGATAAACATTATTCCTAACAACCATTGCACATATGTTAATCAAATAGTGTTCTAGACCTATTGTGACTCTCAACACAAAAACAAATAACTATATATTTAATTGATAATCAAGCAATCAAATAATAAAATTGCGCATGCAAGATTAATCAAGAAAAAAAGAATTTAACTAACTGCTTGTATTAAATTAAAAATAAACAATAAAAGGTTTAATCTGCATCCAATCTATGAAAAGAACTAGCCGGGCATGTTGTTATGTAAATTGCACAAAAACATTTGAAAAAAATATCATTGGGAATGAAAAACAATGACTGAAAAGTGAGAAATCAATTTCTTATTCGTTAAACTTCAACTCGGACTTTGAATTTTCAATCTATGGTGTTAATTGCCTTTGAATCTTGTGCTAGCCTCCTTCTTGTGGTTAAAAAAATAATGTTTTGATATGTGTTCCCCGTTCTGGCCGTCCTTTGTAGGTTAAGTAGTAGGTTGAATATGATCTCTATAGGATTTGGATCAAACGAGGAAGTTGGGTTGTTCAAATGGCTTGCGCGCGAGTGCCATATGTTTCACTGGGAGCACGTCGGCATGAAATTTTCTCTCGGTAAATACACACTAGGGTGTCACGTGTGCGACAAAATGCCTCGCGCGCCATTATAAAATCTTTCTTTTGTTGCGTGTTGGCCCTCAAATTTGTTCTTAATTCTTTCTAGCTCATTTTTTTATATCTTCTTGGTCATTCGTCTTCCAATTCCGTCTAATTGCTTCCACCACTCCTTCAATCATCGACATTAGGTCCGAATCAACTATTAGCACTTCATAATTTAGTCCCCAAACTTTGGATTAAGCCCATTTTAGTCATTTTTTTGCTTATTTGATCCAATTCCATTGTTTTACCTCGAGTCTCACCTAACAAACGAAATATGTATAAAATTAAACTTCAATTCATCCAAAATCTAGTTTAATGACTAAGATAAGTGTACAAAATACACTTATCAATCTATTCATGATTTACATAAAGAGATCACAGTATAAAATTAAACGGTACGTGATCCTATCCAATACAGTCTCTAGTGCATTAGAGTCACTACTCCAGAGATTTGCTCTCTACAATCAAGACGAAGTTCACATCTGTTGGTGAGGTTAACCCAATGATCTTATTAGAATAAAGTGTCAACATCTATACATCAATCTAAGACTAATTAATTTTCGATAGAGATATAATTTATCTATCTATGCTTCTCTACACAAGCATTATACTTATATTATTACAAGATAATTAAAGAAACTTTACTGCATCGTTGATGGCATTACACAACATTCAATTTCGCCTATGCTGGGCAACCATTTTTTCGAAAAAAATTTAAAACTCATTTTCAGCCTCACATTCTCCCATTTTACATTTAAATCGAAAATTTTTCCTTCATTTTTAATTACACATTCTTCAAGAAAATCATTATTCCAAAATATATTTTCTTACCAAAGTGGGGCTCAAACAAGGGCTTAATAAATAAACATACACCGGTGTAATATTCATTTAATAGACGGTCGAATTATCTAATTGCTATAACAAAACTAATTCTTTTGGACACACAACCTAACAAGCGATCCTCTTGTAGGTGCAAATTAGCTCCGAATCCAAACTATTTTCATCTACAAAAGTTTGCCCGACCTTTAATTTTTTTCTTCGCCTGTAAATTTCTACCACATATGGGTTGAGTGGAGAGATTTTACCCATGGTGGTCAATGCCACATCGCCCTTGCCATTTGCCAAATCAAATTTAAAATGGAGTGATGGAGGGATGATTTGGGAACAAATTCCTAAGTTCGGTGACTTCATTAAAACAAATTAAAGATCAGTTACTAATTAGAAACAAAAGCATACGTTCAGAGATCACTGGAGTTATTTTACCCAATAAACAGGCAAAATTTATATCCTGAAATTATAAAACAAAAGGAAAAAATAAAATAAAGCATAATATTATAAATAAGGCATAT